ATTAATATTTTTTGGATTGTGTTCCTTTCTAGTCACTTACTTGTATTATTGAAATGCTGATGTTGTCTGCTTTGCCTTTTCTGAAATGGCGCAGGCATTTCTTTGTTGTCCTGCCGTTTGGAACACTGGCTGACATCTAAAATTAGAACAGTTTGCAAGTTTGCATCGATTAGTGAATAAATTTGCATCAGATTTATATCGGTCATGTAAAACAAAGTTTAGCGACGACTGTCTTTTAACTGTTTCTGCAATTTTTCCGTGCGAGTATTCTTATGCTTCACGAACTAGGCGCATATGTTAATTTAACGATGATCTTAGCCCTTTTTCGTGTTCCAGATCTGCCACTAAGGATATCCTTCTTTGTTCTGATTTTCATTTATGGTATAGGCGACGCAATACGCTAACAGAACTTGTTTTTGTTAATGTATTTAATATGCATTTCCTGCGTTACTAATAACTGCAAACGACCTTCTGAAACATACGTAAAAAAGTGTTTAAATATGGTACGGTGAAATGATGAGTTAAATCAAAGCAGGAAGTTTTGCGTGAATTGACTGTAGTCAACTGTTTGCAATGTGAAACAGTGAAACTAAATAATTTGCAGTGGCATCTCGGTTATATTTGGAGCGATGGCTTAGTGTTTAAGAGGTTTGGTTCGAATTATGAAAATGCCTGGCTGGATTCCACTCGAGGTCAAAGTTTGTGTTATTTAGCAAGAAATTTACCACACATTGCTACAGATCGAAGTTGCGCACTCGGTACGCGTATACCTTATAACGCATAGGTCAACTTCCCATGTTCAAGACCTGATCGGAGGGTTACTTGTCATTCTTGTTTCAGAGTTCAGATACATGAGTACCGTTCTGTAAGAAGGAAACAGGAAGCTACACCATGCACTTGCAACATGGCTGTAGACTCTGCCTTTGAAAGTAAGGTACTCCTGGCTGATGGTACAGAACATAAGTCAGCATTACACTATCAACTTCATAAGAAGAAGGGAACCAAAATGGCAGTTTTGAAAATGAAGGAAGAGCGACATTTTAACGGTGATAAACTTTTCTTCTCAGTTATATGATAAACCTTCAGTATGTTTGATGCATGAAAAAACTGTGAATTAGCAGTACATGAAAAATACATCTTGCATCGGAGTAGTCTAATTTCAATGCACAGACTTACCTTTTCATTGCTTATCGTTTTCCTCGCTATTTGATGTTACTGAAGCAAGCATTTGAATTACAAAATGTGCGGTTCAAGAAATGAAGACTCAGTGAAGTAGAGCGAAACCAACTTCTAGCAGTTAAAGAGGTAATATCCGAATTGAATTTACTATGAGTATCTGTACGAATCTCGATTAGTTCTCTCTACTCAAAAATGAAACTTCGTTTGCTCGTAAAAGGTTTTATTCAAATATACTAATCTTGTTCTTGCTTTTATGGAGATGGACTGGAAGCCATAGATCACATACTGAGTATTGTGTTGAGAATAGTCGCCATTTGACGAATAAATAGCAGTATATTTTCCGGGATACTTAAACGTTTTTCAGAATTTGTTTTGAAGCTAGGTATTATTAGGAAAGGTGGATTTTCTGGACTTTGTGAAATTTTTATGTATAGACGAAAGATGTGTAGTGGCAAGGTATTTTCTATGCAGCGTTTGGGCGTCGGCAGAAGATATCCATTTCTAAACTGTGTGCCGAGGCACTTGCTCCAGATCATTCTTCAGGTACATTACCGTCCTAAGTATCTTCGACCTGTCAGTTGATCAGGTAGTTAGTTGTTTCGCCTTCCTATATTTTGAAATCATTCTCAAGACGTGTCAAAATCATCGCAACTGTAACTTCTCAGTTTGCGGATTCGGTTACATGCATATGGAGCTAATATGCCTCCCGGCTAAATATGCTGTAAATCGTGGCATGGACATAAAAGACTTTATGGTTGACGCTTGTGTCATGCAGATTGCACTGATGTCGTATTTGATTTCGTTAATGCAAAGGCTGGACGGAGCAGATCGTGTGCTATGAAGAAATAGACTGGAACTTCTTAATCATTTTCAAACCATGTTATATCTCTCGTTTATGTGTTGCCAACTAGCCTACGTGATAAACATGGCCGTTAAGGAGAATTCTTTGCCGACACCATTGCGTGCCATGCCTCCTGAAAGCGACGAGTTTAGATTTCAGGACTTAAATAAAATTTGGAGACAAGTTTAAATCGGTTATACAGATCTTTTTGATTTCCATTATTAAAATCACTTGAATTTAGTTAGAACCTGGATCATAAGTTTTCCGGTTCAGTGTTTGAAACGGCATTCTGGAGGTTTTATAAATGAGCTGCAGTTCAAGCTTGATTTAAGCGTATCCAAAGCATCGTCTCGCTGATGAAGCTTTTCAATTTTCCTATTGTTTTCATTGAATTAGGTTATTCTTATTAATGTGAATAGCTCTTCCTGTTATATACAACCTCATGATATTGCCTGTTTTCTGTAACCAG